TCTGCCTGAGGAAGTGGGAAGGATCCACGCTCAGAATTTTGCTCGGACTGGCAAGTGAAATCTAACCAGAAATTTCAAAAAGGAAAGAACTGAAGTTTGGCTTTAAGTGATTGGCAATTCAGAGTACATTTAATCTAATGCTTGTGCTGCAGTACAACCTACAACTTTATGCACGGTTCCTGTGTGCAACACATTAAGAGTCCTGCACTGAGGTCACCTTCCATGCTCATAGGCCACACTTTGATTTATATGCTACTACTGAATGTCCCATTTCCAACTAAAAACGGGAAAGATGTTGAGTTTTTTTGAAAGATCTACCCTTCTGCCCCATCTGTCCGCCCCTTCTGTTTCCTTCCATGTTAGCAATGTTAGCATTAGAAAATGTAGTTAGTCTTCAGTGTAGTCAAAGTAACAGCAAAGTGAGCAGGTGGCAGCAAGAGTGGAAGACAATCCAAGGGTACCTTGGATAGTGAGATAGGAAGGGGATCTGAAGAAAGAAGTGCTGGGAGCTCTCTCCCAGCTGACCATGGAAGCAGCATGTGAAACTGGAAAGTTAGAAGAGCTGCGCTCCTTTCCCGCAGGTGCCTGCAGCTTCATGAGAAGTGATTGTTGCTGCAGGACAACCTTTTTCTCATAAGATCAGCATGTGCAATTTGGAGTCTTTTTCAAGACCCTCTGGGCCTCTTCTTTGGCTGCGGCTTAAGGGAAGTGCACTATTTACTTCTTACCCCTCTCAGCAGCCCAGTTAGAATAATAACAGTATCTGCTGATAAAATATGTATCACATATATAATTTTCTTCTAGTTTAGGAAAAAGCAAGCTGACAGCCTTTATTCTTGTCCAGATGCATTTAAAACATTTAAAACAGACAGTTAAAAAAACATTTAAAACAGCATTTAAAACATTTAACTACTCTAAATACCACAGCAGAAACGCCAGTAGAAACACTTCCATACAAAAGTTTTGTCATAGATTTTTGACTTACTTTGTTTTAGCAATATGTAGATAAGAATGTGAGAGAGACAGGGTGCCCACTCTGCGCTGCAGGCAAATCATCACAAGCAACAGTCTTTTCCTGAAGAAATGCGTTTAACAACTGAATAAATCAAGCAGCCAAATCGTAACAAATTAGAAGCATGACTTCAGCTTTACACATGTAAAGCTGAGTCTGAGGCAACTGCCTAAGGCCAGCAAGTTATTGTGACATAACTGGGACATAACTCTTGTGTCTACAGTCATAATTGCAATAACCAAATGAACGAATAAATAAATAAATAAAATGCCCTTCCTCTAAGAATTTCACCAACTGACATTATGTAGTTATTTTTCTACATCTGTGATACTATAAAATAGATAAACATAAAAAATATTGAGAGCAGGAAGGTCTTATGGAAAACATTTGTGAAGGGCATAATATTGCTATAATTTCATTAGTTCTGATTGATAATGGGGAAAAAATATTTCAGAACTAAGCTCAGAAACTTAAGCATACCTTACTCTAACGCATTTTGGTAGCACTAGATTCTCACTACATTATTGACTCTATCCTTGTCAATTCTGACACAGAGGGCGGAGACTAAGCTTCCATTTTGTTCTGTTGGCTGTTTCTATTTCCATCTATTCTACAGATCAATTAACACAAAGTTGGCTGCTCTGTCCTCCTCTCTAACAGAGTTTTCCCAGTTCTCTCTGGAGGAGCATCTTTTCCCCATCTCTGCTGTTATCCATGTGACAAGCTTCCCATGGGCCTCTGTTGGCTCCCAGAGTTTATGCCCCAAATATGTGCAATTCCAGGGAATAAGTGCCTGATTTAGACTATGGAGCATATCACCTTGACTGTGATCATGCAGCAGTGTGGGTCAACCAGGAGATCAGGCCCAGGCAGTGTGGGTTTATGAAAGGCAGGTCCTCCTTGACCAGCATTATTTCCCTCTACAACCAAGTGATCCTTCTGGTGGATGAGGGAAGGCTATGGATGTAATCGACCTAGACTTCAACAAAACCTTTGATGCTGTCCCTCACAGTATTCTCCTAGAGAAGCTGGCAGCCCATAGCCTGGACAGGTGTACTCTTGCTGTGTAAAAAACTGGCTGGATGGCCAGGCCCAGAGAGTTGGTGGTGAATGGAGTGAAATCCAATTGGTGATTGGTCACAAGTGGTGTTCCCCAGGAGTCTGTATTGGGGCTGTCCTGTTCAGTATCCTCACTGATGACTTTGACCTTACCTTTAATGCTTGCAATGACACCAAGCTGGGAGGAATTGTTGATCTGCCTGGGGGTAGGAAGGCCCTTCAGAGGGATCTGGATATGCTGGCTGGCTGGGCTGAGGCTAACTGTGCTTTAACAAGACCAAGTGCCAGGTCCTGCATTTTGGCTACAAAAATCCCATGCATCACTAAAGGCTAGGGGCAGAATGGCTGAAAATCTGTATAGAGAGAAAGGATCTTGGGATGTTAATTGACAGCTGGCTGAACAGGAGCTAGCAGTGTTCCCAGATGGCCAAGAAAGCCAATCGCATCTTGGCTTGCATCAGAAATAGCATACTCAGAATGAGCAAGAAAGTGATCGTCCCCTGTATTGTACCATCTGTCTCTACACTCCTTTTAATCCAGATCTGTAAGGTCTCAGTCAGCTCCTTACTCATACCCATGTAGATCTTTTACTAGCAAACAATATTTTTTTGTCTTTCATATTATTTTGATCAGATGGGGGCAGATACTACATTTTTGAAATATATACATATTGTAATATCTATGTAACTATGTATCTCAGAAAATCATGAATCTTTGCTCTATGAGGAGTATTTTCTGTCACAATGTTTGAGATGTTTCTAAGAAAATTCTGCTAAGAATCACGGGCTGCACACCTAATTTTTCACTTGTGTTCAAAAGATAACTGAAGTTCTGGTCTGATCTTGATGAATTCTGATGAATTGCATTGCAGTTTGAGAAACCAGTTTTGAAACATCATGCTGTGTTTCCATAGTAGTGAACTCAAATTACAAAAGCAACTCAGAAGGCCAGGTCCTCCATAGTGCTCATTTTGATGCATTAAAAAAAGAAAATATTCACATCTATTTGTGTCATCTCCACATAGAACTAGCAAAACTTCACTTCAAATTTCTTTAATACAACTATTTCAAATAATAAAAAAAGATCTCTTTTATATATTCTAAGTAGGGATGAGAAAGATTTTCAAAACCATTTCCCAAAGTGCCATATTAGAGATTACATTTTTAAAATATACTAAATTTTGTTTGCTCTAACGTGGATTTTTAGGCAACCATCATACACTTCCGTTACATTAAAAGACCTACGTTGAAAAGATTTCCATGTAATCATTATTTATTATTAAAAATATCTAGTGAAAAATTCAGTAAAGCTATATCTTTGAATTACCGTAGTCAAGAAGAGAGGTCAAAAAGAGAGCTATTTTGGAACAAACACTTACTTGAGTGGTGACGATCTGCAAACAGTTGAAAATTGCACCAGACCTCCTCTGCCTTAAAAAGACAGTTACATTTTTCATGTAGAAATGGCAGGCAATCATTTCTATGTGCATCCCAAGATCAAAATTCATTTTAAATTTTGTCACCATTTTCGAATATGCTTTGAACAGTGGAATGCACATATTTACAACAAGAACATACCACACACAACTGTACAGGTTAGGGGCTGACCTGGTGGATAATAGGCTGGCCGTGAGACAGCAGCGCATCCTTGGGGGGGTGCATTAAAAATAGCGTGATAGTGATACAGTCAAGGGTGGTGATCCTCCCCTTTTACTCTGCTCAGGTGGGGTCACATCCAGAGTACAGCATCCACATCTGGGCTCTTCAGTTCAAAAAACACAGGGAACTGATAGAGAGAGTCCAGTGGTGAGGCACAAAGATGATTAGGGTCCTGGAGCACCTGCCTTATGTGAAGAGGCAGAGAGACCCGAGACTGTTCAGCCTTGAGAAAACTTGGAAGGATGGATCTTATCAATGATTACAAATATTTAAAAGTTGGGAACAAAGTAGATGGCCGCAGGCTCTTTTTGGTGGTGGCCACTGACAGCACAAGGGCAACGGGCACAAACTGGTAAACAGGAAGTTTCACACAAACATGAGGAAAAAGTTCCAGGGTTACAGAGCACTGGAACAAGCTATCTGGAGAGGTTGCAGTGTCTGTTCCTCTAGAGATATTCAAAATCCATCTGGACAGTTTCTTGTGTAACCTACTCCAGGGAAACTGGTTCAGCAGAAAGGTTGGAGTAGATGATCTCTATAGGGCCCTTCCAACCCATTCAATTCTGCTATAAATGCACAGCAATATAAATATCTTCTTTCTTGACTCAATGTTAACAGAATTTACCTTTTTATTTGTCAAGTATTAACACAATTATGACAGACTTGAGCTGCTTTTACTCCAAATCTACCAGTAAAATGGGTCAGGAAATTCATTTTTCATGCATTTATTGCTAATTTTCAGAATATTTCAATATTCTTACAGTATTTTCCTAAAACAAAACTAAATTGAAGTGTAAGAAATGAAAACTTCTTGCTATACCACTTGCCTCCTCTATCCGCACCAAAAAGGTAGTCTTTCTTCCTTATCTTCCACACAAAAAATATTGAACCTACATTCTATATATTGTATAGAAAGTGATCACGTTATATAAACAGAAAGGCAACTTAAAACATTTGTGAACTTTAAGACTTACTAAATTAACGTGAAGTAACTTAGGAGATATTTCATCTATTAAAATGCAGAAGTACTGCACAGTACCCTGCAAGAGCATCAATTATGGGTGCATAAAGAAGTTCAAATTTTAAGTATGCTTTGTGTTTACTTCTTGACTTTCCTGAGACACTAATTCTTCAAGAAATAATTTGTGTTGTGGAGCAAAATCTTCCATCTTTACTACAGCCAACAGTTACTTACAATGTGACAAAGGAAATATGAACTTACTCAACAGCGTAAAATACCTTGATTCATGTACAGAAACATACATACTAAATGAAGTGTGAATTAGCTTTATTCTTTTTTATTCAGCATAGTTAGCATTTTAGGAATAACAATATATATATTTCAAACACTAAGAAGGTAATTTCCCTTCGTTTCCATCTTCTGGATGGCTTTTATGCCCAAACAGCATAATATACCATAAGAACAACGATGATTTCTTAGACACCATTCTAGCATTCTCTTGTAAACCCATCTGCTGTGAGTGTCCCTCATCTTAACCTTCTGTTTAAACCAGAAACTTCAGCTTTACTTTGTCAAAAGAGAAGTACCTCAGGACTCGAAGATCACACACACATACTGCACATCACACACATACAAGTAGTTTAACTTAGCCTCAAAAGATGTAATACAAATAGGCCTAAAATCTTCAGGAGCACAGTCTGTTTGAAAGCACTGGTAAGCCTGTTGCTTCAGTTCAATACAACTGTACACTCAAACTGTGATAAAAAAGTAAAACAATTATTTTCCAAACTCAAACTATTAAAAAATACTGTCAAACACTCTATTTAAGCTACACTTTTTGGGCATGTGTTTATTTTTCATGATAATATTCATACATAACCAACTTTTGTTTTTGTAAACACCATAGGGAATTAAAAACATTGCTTGATTAAAGGTAGCCAAATCTAGCTTATAATTTTAAATCAATGATATAGTACTTAAAAAAATAATTACTTAAGCTATATGCATGCATACAGATACATATTTATGTTTATATAATGTATACAAATAGACACATTTTATATATGCATGTAAGCAAATGCATCTCTGCAGCAGCCAGGTAGAGTATTAGAAGAAACAAGTTTTTTTTTTTGTTTGTTTGTTTTAAATCAATGTTTAATACACAACCAAGATACACTACACCTTCACAACAAAATCGTATCTGTACAACATGAAACTTTTATCAGGCTCTTCCGCACTGCTAATATTTTTCTTAATTCTCTTAAGGAAATTGAGAAATAAAATTACTTTAGAAGTTTACACAGCATTTAACGTAGTGGTCATAAGTAACAGAAAAAAATGAAATACTGACACTAATTTAAGCAAGTAGAAGTTTGAGGATCAATACCTATAAAATCCCTTAAGACTGGCAGTGAGATTTTCAACTTATCTTAAAATGGCTATTAGGTTACAAATAGTTTACTTCTTCTTTATGATTTAGGTACATTCAACTGAAAAAAAAAAAAAAAAAAAAAAAAAAAAAAAAAAAAAAAAAAAAAAAGCAATCACCACCACAAAATAATTAAAAAAAAATACACCAACAGCAGCCCTGCCCATGTGCGCAGAGATATATTCTACTATCATCACGGTGCTAAAAAGTCCTGTAAAACACTTTTCAAGAGCCATTTCAAGAGTGAAATGAAATTCAAATTATGTACATTGTATATATAAAGTTTCATAATAAAAATAAACATCCTTCTGTTTCAAAAACCTGTTAAGAGACAAATCACTGTCAAAAGAAAGGCACTAGGCAAACACGATATACCCTGGTACAGAATTTGTATTCACCATAATTTACATGTTGCACTGAAATAGTAACAGCATATGCACATGCTCTTTCCCTTAAAACACAGCATTAGTTTATAGACCTGTGCAAGATAATACAAACCCTGCTTTCAGAGAAGATGTACTGAGCTTCACTTCTCAGACAGCTCACAAAACTGAAACAATTTACTTGATCACAACTGACAGAAGTAGAAATGAACCCAGAGTTTCCCTTGAAATTAAATACCCTCACACCATAAAATCTTTATCTCACAGACCATAAGCATTTTCCTTCTAGAAATGCTCCAACAGTAACTTCAGGTATCTCTATGTGCAGAAGAACATCGAAGAGTGACCAACTTAACCTTCCCATTCTGTTTATTCTGCAGCTTGCATAAAGTTGGTACATGATTTACTTTAAGAACTATAACATCAAAAAGACGAGTCAACTGCAATTCTTCAGAGTCAATACATTAAAAGTAATCATTTACTATTTTTTTTTTTAACAAATTAGGCAAAAAGAAAGAAAGAAAGAAAGAAAGAAAAGTAGGGGAGTGAGGCTGAAGTGATACAGATATTCCTTAATCCCTTTTCAGATCTGAAACTCATTATAGAGCTTTCTCTTCCACCTAATTTTGATTGGATTTTTTTTCTTATTAAAGTTCGGAACAATTACCTTCTAAATACACCCACCTTTTCCCCTGCGCCTAGTAACTGGGTTCTTATATTTAAGAATTTCATTTCTTTGCATCTGCATAAAGCTTTTCCCACAGAAATATTTTAGCCATTTTTCCAAAAATGACTACGATTGCAGTAGTAACCTACCAGCAGAATTAGATTTCTATTGTTCCAATACTTGCAGTGATTTTTGCTCCAAGCACAGAAAAAATATTGGCTAGGCAGGTGGGGTAGTTCCAGTATCTGCTATTCCATGAGATCTCTTCAAAATCAGTTCTACTCTTGGACATACATTTTTTCCAAGTGGCACATTTAGACTTGAAAACATATTAAGCACATAAAAATACAGTAAGTGCTCAGTAGTGATAAGTTTCTAAGTACTCCTTTATATCATATTTTGAGAAATTCTTACATTCTTCTGAAGATCACATTAGACACCTGTGCATCATGGCCCATATCACTTCACATCAAGAGCTAAATGATGTCTTTGCAGCAACCACAGAAGTTTTTCTAAGGAAGATACACTACGCTGTTACCATAAATGATATTTTAAATAAAAACAGATTATTGCAGTTGTAAAACACTGCACAAAAATTTCAAATGCTTCCATAAACTGCAACAAAAGAAACAACTTTTACAGACATGAATAAAAACTGTCACTGGGAAAAAAGATGACCAGTTCTCATGACTAGTAAACAGTGCAGGCAACTACAGTGACAATAGATGGCAAAGTTTAAGCAGAGAAAGAGATCTGTCCTTACAGGTCTGAATTCAGAAGAATTTTTAAATAATACATTCAATAGAGATATACAGTGCAGTTAGTCAGCCCTTCAACTATATGGGCTCTTTGAACTGCAAAGCTTAAAGGTATCAAATTATAAAAACAAATTATGTATAGTTATATCAGAGAGTTACAGGAAAGATGTATCAACAATTTTCCTTAATAAACAGAGAGCAGTTCACTTGAAAGTGGTAAACTCTTAACAAGTGGTTTAAATGTCTCAGACACTATTTCATAACAGGGTCATAGCTGTATCTTCTTTAGCTTATCCACTTGAGTGCAATTGAAACAAAACAAGCAAAAGTTTCTGTTAGAAACACTCTGAAGTTTGCAGAGATGCAGCAGGAAAATGCAAAGAATTAATACTAGTAAGACTGTAGTAACTCCAGAAATGCACTTCCAAGTGTCAAGTCATTTATCTGTAACCCAATTTCCACAGTTTTTCTTGAAAAAAGCTGAGATGGTTGTGCAATACCTCAAACTTTTAATAATTGCAGACAAGTGACGGGAATTTGCAAATAAGTGTAGATACATAAACATTTTTTTCATACCAGAAGGACTCTAGAAAATATTGTACAAGAGCTGCTGCAAAAGTAATGTCTCCTATTACGTTGGCTCTCAATGTCAGAGGCGGATGTTGGTATTATGGCAGTAGAGGTTGAGCCTTCCTGTCAACAGCCCATTCTATTCTGTTGCCACACGACAGATGGCAGCAGAGGGGCAGTCCAACAGAATGGCACCTGACACAGAAATATGTATGAAGCAAAGGTGTGTCATTGAGTTCCTCCAGGAAGAAATATGGCAACCACTGACAAGCATCAATGCTTGCTGAACATCCGTGGAGACCAAACAGTGGATGTGTGCAGAGTGAGGCATTTCAGCAGTGGCAACAGCAGGTCATCTCTACTGCTGCAGATTTTTATGACGTGGCATGCAGGTTCCTGCTCATCATTGGCCAAAATGCATAGCTGATAGTGGTGACAATGCTGAAAAATGGTCTTTTTAGCTGAGAATTTACTCTGATAAATACTGCGCTCTTTGCATCTGTTGTACTGTCCATGGAAACAAATAGGAGACATTACTTTCAGAACAACCCACACAGTAACTTATGTTTATTTGGAATGACTCAAGTTTTTGGAAAGAAAAGTATACTTTTTTCTTTTTTTGTTTGTCATTTTCTTTCTTAACCACAAGTCCCCACATCCACCTCACAACTTCATGGACAGAGCACTACAATTAACCAAGGAAGAAGTATGAATAATTACAATAAACCCTGTTGAAATTGAGAGGATTCTAGTGGTTACAACAGTTACAACATATTAACTACAAAGCAAGATCAGTCGTTTTTTAAAACCACTTTGTTACAGATTAAACACTTGACATATACTGCAATAATTTAATGTCTACTGTTTTCCTGTAAAGTTGTATGAAAAAGTCCATGTCCCCTTCCTGCAAAAAACTCCCAGAAATGGATTATTGAGGAGACACATCCATGCAATTTGACATTTTCAAGCTTCAGTAAGAAAAACAAATAGTAGTCACTACACTGGAAAGGTGAGACTCTCAGATCTAAAAAGAACTAATTTCCAGGCACACCATATTGTTAAAAGAAGTGTTGAGCAGCTTACTTGAACACTAACATGACCTTAGTAACTATTGTTCTGGATCTTGGAAATACATGAAAATAGAAATCTGATTTCAAGTAAAAGTGATGAGTAGTTGATGTCACTGCTACTAGATTACATTGCTCCAAAAATTATAAATGAAAAAGCAGAATTTAAGATTATTATTCATCGTATGACTAGCGAAATATTAGCTTTAGAATCTTTGATGTTTTTAAAAACTAAATCTGTGTCTCCAGTCAACAAACAATGTATAAGTATAGTTGTTTTTTTTTCCCCCCTATATTTTTAGAATTTTTTTCCCGCTCTCAAATTTCAGGATTTTTTGTTGTTATGTTTTCTAGTTGTTGGATTTTTTTTAAAATAAAATTCAGACACAGAAAAACTATGTAAATTTGTCAGCATTCCAGTAACGTGCAAAAGTATGCAGCATGTACTGAATAGAACAAATACAAGTAAACTAGAAATATTTCAGTAGTTCTTTGGAACTCAATCTTTCAGAGATATATATTTAAAAATGAAATAAACAAAAACTCACCAATGTTGCACACATACAATGAGACATACATACAGTGTTCTTACCACAAGATAATCATATAATCAAGAACTCCCAATGTGCAAAGCATAAAAACAGTAGCTGTAGTTTACGCACGCTACTGACATGCATCCTGCAAAAAGCAAGCTATCAAGATCAAATTTAGCTTAAAGGATCACTTAGATTAGAAACAGAAGTACATGAATAAAGTGTACAAGTATCTGTCAAATTTTTGTACTACTTCAGTCATGTAGTTATCCCATGCAGATGTTCTTGAAGCTTAGCATGCAAATTACTAATTAAAATAAAGCATTCTTGAACTACAGTAATGAATGAGATGAAAATATTCTCACACTTTTTACTCTTCAAAATTTAGTAGTAGTGCATTTACATTAATGCAATATAAGGATTTAAACATACCGATAATAAAGGCATTTCATAACAGAGTCTTCACTCTCAATTTCTTTCTTACTGTATTTAATATGCTAAGAAACAACTGCAGTAGAAATAGCTCACATAAGCCACTGCTCCTTTTCTTTTCTGTACTTCTCAGACCACTTCTGAGTGAGCTCTAGATAAACATTTGGTTTATGGGGCTTATAATCAAGGTAAACTATTTGTCCAGTCTTTTTGGGGACAGCTTTTTCAATCTGAGTACCCTCGTGCCATTCATTGAAAGATGTAATGGAAATAATTTCTGGTCTCACCAAAAGGGCTGCATTAAAGGCAGTCTCATAGTATTTTCCATTGACACGATTACGTGTGTTGTGGTTGTTCCATGGTCGGATACTCGTGTCGATATATCCTGGTCCCACACTTGGAATAAACATTAAGTTGTTGCTGTCACAAAAGGCTTTTAAACTTGCCCAATTATGATGAGATGAGCCATAAGAGAACCCATTTGTAGCAAAGTATGTGTACATTCCATCAAAGCCACTTCTGTGAATATCATGCTTATGCCTTTCTTCTACAAGAAGAGCAATGAATAACGCATCGTATGGAGTATTTCGAATAGTCTGGGATCCAGATACAGTTAACAGATTCGCCCATATTTCAGGAATTGTTACGTAAGAATCATAAACATAAAACATGGGAAGAGATCTGCCTGTGTTGGTCTTATGCCTGTAAAAGGCTGGGTGGGCTCCATATCTACAAAGCAAACAAGTATCATTAAAACCAAATTTACCATTTTGAAAACATTGACTTACAAATTGCATTGAAGATCTCTTTTTCGAAAAAATAAATAACTAAATAAAACAGTGCAGGTGCTTCAAAACACAGAAATGCATATCCATTTTCAATCCAGTATCTCAGTATCTGTTAAAGGATTGAATAATGAATCTGCAAAGATCACTATTTCTACCAATCAGTATTTGTGTTAAACTGCACTATAAGTATTAGTCTTCTCTGAAAGGCAATTCTCTAAACAAGACTGTAAGTAGCACTGATGAACAAAACAATTAGTAGCTGTACAAAATTTGTCAAGCTGAATTAAAATCATTAGAGGTCAACACGTTATGGCTTGCTGCTTATTTGTCACTCTAAAAATGCATGTCTAATTCATATAGTTGCGTACTTAATACTTCAACTGCTTTCATCTGAAACACTCTGTCTCACTCATGTTGCAAATGAATATTGAAAGCAACATACATTTGAATGTTTACACACAGTTCATGCTTCAATATTTAAAAAACAGACTTCTGAGTTTAAGTACCACCAAAATATGAACTATGCTTCCTGAAGTTTTCTTCAGTCTCAGTACATATTTTGAATATATTCTTCCAGGCTCTAGACAGCATACAGAACTTCACTGAACAAATATTAAAAATACACAAAAGGAACATTTTGAAAACACTCACTTGTCAATGATGTATTTGACATTGTGGTACATACTGCGATCATCTCTATCTTTGTAGGGCTCAATATGAAAAGTGACCTGAAAAACAAAAAATAGTGAAGCAGCACAAACAATATTTTATTGAATATTTGAGCATTCTATGTTACGTGAAGCAAGTAGTGGTCATATTAACATTTTCTGTTAATCCTAATGTAAATCAATTTTAAGATTAGTAGTTTCAGATCCAGGAAAGTCTAGCAATAAGAGTAAATATTTCATTTTTTTTTCGTTAGTACTAAACATTGCTTTTGTTTTCCCTCGGCAATAGGGCACAGTAAGCACACTTCACAGAACTTCACAACTACAGCAGAAAGTAACAACTGAAATAAAAGATTATTTATTTGAATGTCAAATAACTGGTTAAGCAGTGAATTTCCACGTAACATGTTCAAATTACTATTGATAATAAGAACAGAACATGTTCAAATTACTATTGATAATAAGAACAGTTCCCACTGTCAAACTAGATTTTAAGACAGTATATGAAAATTTTAATTTAAAATTTTATGGAGTTATCAACACCATAACTGCTGATATGCTTTTATCCCTGTAACTAAGTCTAATCTGAATCTCTGCTGCTCTAAATTCAAGCTTGGGGCTTATGAAATTATTTATCCTGCGTTTGTGAAATTACATCAATGTAAAAATCTTGTTTCCAGCTATGCAATTCAAGGGAGGAGTACATTACATTAATCAAAGCGACTAGCTTTTCAGAAGCAACTTCAGAGTACAAAGCATTTAATGAAGCATTCAACTACTCTGCAACAGTAGCAAATTTAATTACAGTACCAGAGTATATAAAAATACAGTATTACACTAAACTACAAGAATTAACAAGATGGGTTGAAGAGTGCTTTAATATATTTTATTTTCATCTATCAAAAATAAGCAAATCAAAAGGACAAATTTTAGCAGATATGTTTTATTTTTTATAAAACATTTTTTTCTCTGCTGTTTTTAGTCTACAGACATTACTTAACTAAATAACCATTTACTTGTGCAAGAATATTTTAAAAAAATTCTGAAAGTAGAATTTAGTGATAGTATCTTTACTTAATATCTGCATTCCAGTAACTAATCCAAACAGTAACAGCAGCTCCATCCACAATGCTATTATTACCATAATATTTAAGCATTTTCCTTGGTAGCTTATTTGAATTTTGCCTTGCTCTTTTGAGACGTGAGTGTTAACGAGTTCTCTTAGGTGAGATCAAGCTCCATAAAATGATCTGAAAACTTCTAGTGGAAGACAGTTTTCTTTAAAAATAGTAAATTATTAAAAAGGAAAAGAAAAAAGAAAGACTGCAACGTGTCACAGTGAAATTCTCATTGCGACTTTGAAAATTACTTACGTATCATTTAATTTTCCTACTTTGCTCTTGTCTGACAAAGAATCTAAAGCTGCTTCTAATAACAGGAAATGTCTCTGTAAATCTGACAACTAAAGCGAGAGCAGATGAATGGTACATTTCAGTCCCCAACCCAGACAGCACACTCTTGAGATGAAATGCATACAGCGGCTCAGAACATTCGAAAAGTAAACCTTATTATTTGGAAAGAATAAACAGCAGCGCATGTTCTCTTTATTCCCCCAACCCTTTCCCCTCTCTGCCTGCCCAAGGTAAAATACAGGTTTTACTCTAAATATAAACATAGTACAGTGCAAGAACACATGTATCTACTTTTGGAACTCCCAAAATTGCAGCAAAAGAGCACACAGACAGAAGCTACAATTACCTTACAAACTTTCTTTGCTCAACATCACAGGTGAAATGTAAGAAACTTTTACCACAATTTACTTTCCAATGCAGTTTTATTTTATCAATCATATAAATGTTTTACCTTTAGATTGTATTTGCTTGCATAATCCAAAATAATAGGCACCAAATCATCAGTTGGTTCTCCGTTTTCATCAGCCATACCTGGTGGGTACCACGAAAGTGCTATTACACCTAAAAATATAAAGCACAGCTTTCAAATTGTATATTTAAAGCGTAGCATGCAGTCAGTTTGTCATGAGTTATAATTATTGTTTGATGTAAAATCTATATACTGTAAACAAGAATTTCAAATTACTTTTTAATCAATTGTGAAATCTCAGCACTCTCTCTTTCTTTACTGCTGAAAGAAATCAGCGGTAAAAGCATCTGTCAGAACAAGGGAACACATTTGTACCCAATGCCCCTAACATTCATAGACGTTGCCCTCCACTCTCTAGCACAGCATCATAATCTCCAAGTTTTATTAAGAGATGTTGGAAAAGGCTCCTGTGGTGTTATAGCTGTGCCACAGTACACTAGAGAATACCAAGATGCACAGGGGTAGAGAATACTCCAGAGATGAGGGCTACACAATGTCAAAAAGATTCTTATGAAGACTTATCCCCTACAACACTTCTGCATTATACCTCAGGCTCTATTACAAAATAATCATTTCATACTGGAAGGAGTGACTATAATCCTGCGCTCCTCCTTCTAGACACAAGCAGTCCCTATTACAACAAAAATGCAATGCTCCTAGACTGTAATTTTCCTTAATGCTTTCCTCAAAAGCAAAAGATGACATACCTCATCAGAAAGACTCAAAACCTCTGTCTCTAAAATGAAATGCTGTCAGATTAAAAAACAAAGCAAGACTGCTTAGATATACAGCTGGAAATAACGTAATATATCAGTAAGACAGACAAATACACATGATACTGATTTAAAAATATTTTCCTAATGATACTAAATTAAACATATGGAACAGTAAGTCAATGTGGATCTTTTTAACTATCTAAAGATTGAAGTATCTAAGCCAGTTTACAGGCACAAAAATTTAGAGCATATACTTCCCTTTGACTTTACTAATACTGTAACTTTCCTGACAAACAACTTCAGAATAAAGTCCAAAATTATGAATAAGAAAACATCAATTAGAATGAATATGCTACCAGCTGCTAATGTCAAAAACAGAAATTTCATCTCAGTATACAAAGGAGAGGTTAATCCAACAACTCACAGCATATTCTCTCAAAATTTTATAAAAAAAAATAAAATCATAAACAACAGACTATCAAGAGCGACAGTCAGTTCAAGGGCAAGAAAAATGCAATAGTTTACTGCATTTTATCACCCTATCTTTTATTTAACACAACAGGAATGGACAAAATTCAAAAGACATTATGAACAAAAAGCACAATAAGGCAAACATGATACATTTTTCCAAAATATCTTGCATATAACATCTGTCATGAGCCTCTTCTATCACGTTAAGAAACAAGGAGGAGTTCAGGAGACAAAATTTTTCAAGGAAGCTAACGCATTTGTCTTTCTTTGAGATTTTTTCCTTTTTTTTTTTTTTTTAATAGATGTAAGTTACTCTGAAAGTAATGTCTCATATTTATTTCCATGGAAACTAAAATGGAGCTATTTTCCTCTTTGTATCTATTTGATAGAACAAATTCTCAGGTACTAAACACTCTTTTTTTGACACAGTGACCATGATTAGCAATGTATTTATGCCAGCGATGAAAAAGAGCCTGAGTGCAGCACTCGTAAAAACTGTCATGAGTGGAGATGACCCACGGCTGCCACTACTGAAATGCAGCACCTACCACCTCACTGTGCTCACATCCACTGTTTGCTCTCCATAACTGCTCATTAAACATCAGCGAATGTCAGTGGGCGTCATTTCTTAAAGCAGCGAAGAAGTCAATGCCACACCTTTGCTCCTCCAAGTCAGGCATCATTTTCTCAGTCTGTCCCTCTGCTGCCATGTGTCACACAGTAAGACAATGCAACAGAATATTGGTGGAAGTTCAACCTCTACTTGAGGTTCAACCATACCATTGTCATTAACTTCTGACGTCGTTGGTCAATAGAATAAAATCGATGGCATAACTTTTAGGGCAGCCCTTGTCTCAAGGCAGTCAGTATATGTACCACATAAACTTTTCATTCTTCGAACGTACGTGGCAATTGTTCTTGGAAATTAACTCACCATCATTGCCCCAAGTGACAGACAAAGTTTTAAAGATATTCCTGTGATAACAACATCCTCATGCATCCTTTGAACAGCATTTGGAATCAAGCTCTTCTTCAAAAATTAAAACAGTATGGAAGGCCCATAAACTTTTCTCAGCCTAACTAAGAGCATCAGAAACTCACAGAAACTAAAAGCATTTTTTTCTTACTACTGATCAAATCATCACTTGCGTGAAGACAAAAGAAATGGAACTGCATGCAAATTTGGCTATCAACAAATATAGATCAGACCTCTGTTTTTAATCTAGGCTTTCCCAATGTAATCAAGGCCTCCACTAATTGAGGAATAAAAGAAAGAAAGATCCTCTTTTCCAAGTGCAGTTCAACCTAGATTAAAATACACAGCATGAATTTATGTCTGAGATTACCTCTCTCCTTGTCTGCTTGACTACTCAAGAATCCTAGACAGTTTACTTAGATGATATAACTAACTTTTAGATGAGTGACATAAGTTAAAATGAGTGTCACCATAGATATTAAATCTGAGGGCAGTTTACAGGAAAAAAGGACTAGTAATTGCTTGACAATAGTTGTGGATGTAATTTACATTAACATTTTATATACCAGAGTGAGCTTTTCATCGTGAAAAATATGAGCATTAATACTATCTAATTTATAACATTTTTTCCCCCAACACTATTCAAAGGAGAAGTGACATTTCAATTCTATGAATTACTGAAGTCTGCTATCAGATATTCTATTGAAATACACTAAAAATCAACTCCCTTTTACCCCTCAGGAAACACAACTCATCTGCCTCTGAAGTTGTGCACCAGCAGAATAAAATAAGAGGCATCACTTTCAGAGCAGCCCTCATGTTTTCTGTTACATATTATAAGAGAAAAGGATCACTTCAGGAGACTGAGAAGGGACCGATTTAACCAAAGATCAGCGTAACATCATAAAAACAGACAAATGAAGGACTTCAAACCATACTGCAATAAAAACAGGGCAGTGCAAAATATGAAGTTTCATCAAGCAACCTGAAGAATAACAGATGGATACAACACATTCTGAAACTAAGAACACCACATGAAAGCAGTGAATAAGACTCCTGCAGTTTCAACCTCTTACATGCCTTTGAGACTCGCACAATATTGGCTGAGAGAACCATTTACATTTTTTTCCCCCCCTCTTGGAAGATTCTTGACAAAGACTCTCAAAAAAGGTAAGAAAAAATACTATTTGATAAATGTAAAACACAGCAAGGCTAGGATTAGAAACTAGCTATAATTGCAAAAGAAGAAACTATAAACAGTAACTTTAGTACACAAAAAATGAATACAGTATTAATCATAGAAGAAAAAGATGCAATATTTGAGTAATAATCTGAGAAAAAGTAAATTATGGTGACCAAATCTAGATTGAAAAAAAAAAATTTCAAGTATAATTAAATCCAAGAGTCAGAATAACAACCAAAAAAATTGAACTTTTGATAAATACCAGTTTAAAAAAAAAAAAAAAAAAAAAAAATCAAAAAACAAAATAAAAAAAACACGTATGACTTATTATTGTTAAAAAAATTAAATGGAAAGGTAAATTAAGACTATTAAAAAAAAAAAAAAAAAAAAAACAACCTTTCTCTGTAAAGCATTTTTCTTAGTATTTTGCATTTTTTCTACTACCAGTTCTGCTTCATCAGCATTTTTATTTAGAGGATGAGAAATGTCAAATTATTCTAAAATTACACACCTGCTCTCTGCTTTCATCACACTACCACACATTATTGTCTGATTTAGATACGACTAAAAAAGTGCTTTGTGACAACTAATATCAGATTTTTCTGCATCTGTTTTCCCTCTGCTGCTGCTGTTCTTGTTGTTAATGAAGTAATTCTATTATTGAAAATAGTAAGAAAACTCCTACTTTTGTATTAATTATAGTTGAAAACACAGGTTAGAATAAAAAGTAAAAAACAAAATAAACAAGAATTAAATATTACAGAAGCAAACACTACCACTTGGAATATAACAATTATACAATTCTTAGTGTCTATGTCAACGAAAGCAATTCAATTCAGCACAATTAGTACTGTGAATATTCTATAAGCTCTGATCGTACTGTTTCAATACACTTACATAAGCTGTTCAGAGCTTAGTATTAGACTATGTAACTCCTTATTTTAAAGATGATAGATGTAGAACAGGCACAAAACAACAATAAAGTATGAGAACAAAAACACAATAAATATTCTTTTTATATATCCCTTTAAGATATATACTTACGGTGGGGAAAAAAAAGGTATTTTTGGACAAGGAAATAAACCATTATTAGCTACACTTAAACTATCCTACTTGAATATAAAAAGTTTAGGATTAGACACTTCTATAGCTAATGAGACCACCTATAGACATATTGCATTCAATAAAAGCCATAATCCTACATTTTTTGACATGACTAATATAACATTGTTGTAACACAACAAGTGTTTGTAAACAATTCTCTTGTTTGAACAGACTGCTCTACTACTTTGTCAGCATGACTTACTGAAGTGCTATTAAAACCTAAGTACACACCTCCAAAAATAAAATATGCAGACAGACAACAAACTCTAACAACAGTTTCTGTATTGTCTACACATGTTAACAGTGCTTAATGGTTTAATTCATGAAACATATGCACCTGAAGGATTACACAGTTCTTGGTTTCTATGCTCATCAGAAGTGGCTCTGATGTTCAAGGTTTTGAGGTAGGTATTAAAACTTAGAAACATTTAGCAACTTCACCCATTTCAGAGTTACAAAGAAAAACTGGTCAGCTGTGTTCATTCAAATATTTAAGGCTGGATAAATGAAAAACATGCTGAAACATTAACATTCATTTACCAATTGAAGCTGAAAGCATTTGTTTCATGTGAGCTTCTATGACAGAAGTATCTTTGGAACTGTAAGATCCAAGTTCAGGATAAAAATTGGCTGCAATGTCCTCAGGAGGATTATGCCTTCCCTTTGGATAATTGTTTGCAATTTTGGGGTCCCAATGTGGCAACAAAGGATGGTTCCAGTGAATGTATTTACCATCAAACTGTGGATTCCCAAACCAGCTATAATAGAATATATGGAAGTTATAATTAGGAGAAGACAGATCTCCTTCCAACTTGTTCACAGGAGGCATGGATGCTTTCATAGTATTGACCACACCAGCATGCATGTTACTGATCTGTGTTACAGTATCTCCTTGAACCCTATTCAGTGAACTTCTTTTACTCTCTAAGAGCTCTGTCCGTTGCTGAAGCTCAGGTAATAAACCAAGTCCAAATGGGTCCCCAAAGCCAGCTCTGTCAGGTCTCAGAGTCTTCAAAGCCATCATTATGGAGCAAATAAACAAAATAAAAAGCAACAAAATGATGCATGTTCTTCTGCGAAATCTTGCCATGATGTCATACTTCAGAATCCACTAAAATCCATCCAATTTTGGCAGCAACTGATAAAACACAAATATTTTGAAGTCAGATTTCTTATTGTCTAGTAGTACAGTTTTTTCATAAGGTTTCTACATAATGGAAATATTAGAAGACAATTATGTGATGCTTATATACTGTATTAATGACAAGTTTTCTCAAAAGATTAAAGTGAAGGAGAACGATCAAAAACACTTACGTGTTTGAGAATGTGTGTCAAAGATTAAAGTTTACCACTGAAGAAACCCAGATTTTAATAAACACCTTACTTTTGAACTTTGTTCTTTTCTTAATTAAATCCCATGAAATCTTGGTTATATTATTTCAGAAGTCTTCTATTTTGGTAAGTCTGCTCAAAATAGCAAAGAAAGTAAGAAAAAAGCAGAAACCATGACAACAGAGTAATGTAAAAGAGAAAAAAATCAAATTGAGATAGTGAACAAAGTACAGTTTATGTTCAGAATACAGGTTTGTTATCACTACCTACTGAATGGCACAACCACCTCTTGTTAAGGAACTTCACTGACTGAACATTTTTGGCCAATTAAGCTTCATACTGTAGAGTTTCCCAGCTTTTCATACCTAAAATTCAATGTGTTGAACTACAAAAAAAAAAATAAAAAAAAAATCAGCATAGCTTTAAAGATGTACTTCAGGCAGAAAGCCTGCAATCAGCTGCTGGTAACCTGTTAGTACAGTATCACAGCTGCATGGCACTTCATGCACAATTTCTGGATTAGGTTCAAAGTAAAACCAATAGTGCACAACATTTCAGCACTGGAGGGAAGGGAACGAAAAGCATTATAACAAAATTCCTGATTACCTTGTAAATAATTCCCATTCAACATTAAACAGAAGAGAGAACGTGATGAAAAAAGCTCAGGTCACCACGTAATGGTGTGGAACATGATTAAGCACAAAAATGGAAGATTTTAGAAAAAAAAACCTGATTCAGCTGTCATTAGATATAGCACAGAAGTGATTTTGTATTTCTGTAACTGACATCCAAATAGTAGAATATGACTTTAAAGTATCAAGGTATACACAGGTCATTTTTACATGCAAACTATCTCATCTTATTTTCCTACCGTTACTTAATATTATTAAAATACATTAACATATAGCTTCAGTAGTAACCATGCTTGTCACCACTTCTAGAGTCACAAATTTAGATAAAGAATTTTAGGATGTTTCTTTAACAACATAGTTTGAGTAGGATTACCGCTATGACACTGCCAAAAAGTCTTGCTTTTGCTTCCAATGTTTTTTCCACTGATCCTCCTCTCCGTGTCCTGTTATCTCTGGTACGCTGGTTTCAAAGTATGGTCACACACATGCTCAAGGAGCAAAACCACGTTAACATTTCAAAAACAGACAACAAAAAAGAGATACCCTTTTATTTTGTTAGAGATTTGACTGAGCTGAACAAGTACAACAGCAGTAATGCCAACAGGTGAGTAAACAGCATAGACAGAAGAAGGAAAAAAAGAAAATGAAGCAGCACAACTGCACTGTGAAAACATATCCTTTGTTACCATCAGGGAAAATGATTATCCAGCATATATGCTTATAGTACTTCACTTCACATTTTTCATTTAACAGACTTCATGTCACTTTACATCAAATTACAGACTTCTTTTTATACAGCACGCAATCCATCCCTAGGCCTTAAAATTTTAGCAGATTTTATTTGGAATTTTCTCTTACTAATAAATTAACTTTAGAAAGACTTGCACACTACTTCTGCACTGTTTCTGAGATATTTTCAATCTTACTTACAATGTACATGAAATGTTACCATTTCAATCTAACTTACCGTGCTGCACCTCAGAATTTTAAGTTTTCTAAAGGATCAGTTTTTTTTTTTTAATTACTTTTTCCACAACAGAAACAATGTCATTTTGTCATTTAAGTGCTTAAATGTATTAATGCATTTCAGTTTTTCAACCCAGATGATACTGACAGAAAACACATTTACTTTCTTCTCCAATTATTATTTTATCCCCCCTCCACAGTAAAGAGATTTCACATCACTAGAGATTACAGTCTGTAACTAGAACATTTGCAAGCTCTTTCTCCTTTACTGAGAAAGCGGTCCTTTCTTTCTTTGCTTGACATAGCAGCTACAAAACTTCCGCCCCACTGTACCAACATTTCACTATCATGAAGTGTTACTTCTGATATGTCAGGAACTGGTGTTAGTTCTCCACATTGTTGTTCCAATAAATATTTTTTCCAATAAAATATTTACAATTCAAGTATATTAAGAAGCAAGCAGCATACATGCTAACTTTACTTCCATCAGAAGTTTTTGATTTGACTGGCAACAGGACAGACCCTGGTCTATCACAGTGCTTTATGAACCTCTAATATACTTATATAGAGGCATAAAACTGAAGAGCAAAAGTTCTAACATGTCTACACGATATCTAACCTAACAAAGGGTGTTCTGCATGCCAGCTGCAATGTCAAGGTTCAGCACTGACATACACACTTGTACTTTAACAATTGCATTCAAGACCTAAACAGTAACAGGCAAATAGTGCTCACCAGCACTACTGCCGCAGCAAAGATGTAAACATCAGCAAATATCAAAGCTTCACAGCTAAGGTCTCCAAACTTCACTTTTGCTATAAATTCCCAGCTGCAAGAACCTGAAAACTCTGAAAGAACAGATCAGACTTAAGCAAAGCTGAAGTCTGTAGGCCTTCAAAGACTTCAGTGCTTTGCAAACAGGCCACCCTTGATCTTGCGCTGCATTCCGGGACCACCGTGCAAATAAGCACCTGGCAGCATCACTTCAGGTGCCAAGTGACTGATCAGGTGAGGTTCAGTATGCTTCCCTAGGGGTTGCTAAGGTCTGCACAACTCGTATTTACATAACATCTTCCAGTCTGGAGAACACAAAAAGCAACAGAGGTTGACCTGCGAGGCCTTCCTTGTAACAGCCTTAGCACTCGTTCCAGTAATATACAAACAGAGTATTTCTCCAAAAAAAAGTCAGCACGACAGTGTTTAGAGAAGGTTTTCTCAAAGAAAAAAAGAAAGAAAAAAGAAAGAAAGGAAAAAAAAAAAAAAAAAGCAAGCACTGGAAAACCATTGAGAGACGACATCACACATAGCAAGCATTTCATAACTGCGCTTACAGCCTACGGGGATACACCGGGTGATGATGTACCGGCCCCCCAACACCGCCAGGCCGCCCATCAGCAGCTGCAGGGTGAGGGCAGCCCCTCGGCTCTCCTCGTTCCCTCCAGCCCCGGGGAGAGCCCCGGCCCGGCCCGGTTCCTCACATCCTTTCCCCCGCTCCGGGGGCCGGCAGCGCCCTCGCCGCGCTGCTCCCCACCCAACCCAGGCGCCGCGGACAAGCGGCCGCTACTCACCGGCCCGACGCAGGAGGACCCGCCGCGGAGGGCGGGCTCATATCGCCGGGAGCCGGGCCAGCGCCTCTCCGCAGGGATACGCATGCCCAAGCTGACGCGCGTGCGCGGCGGCAGGACGGGGCGGAGGTTGGGGCTGGTGTGCCGCCCGACGGTTGTCGCTGGGAGCTGGGCGGCCTCAGTGCTGGGAGCTGTGGTTGCGAGGGGTCTCAACGATCGTCTAGTTCTGACTTTCTGCCGTGGGCTGGGTTGCCACCTTTTTTTTTTTCTTGTTTTTTTCCTTCCCCAGAACTGTGAACGTAAACTGCAAAAGCTCTCATTAGTGAAATTACAAAACAAATCAATGAAAAAACAGATTCTCGTTTTCCCCTGTAAGCATCAGAGGCTTGTCGAGCAGAGCTGTTGCTGATAGCGCTCAGACTGACTCAACACAATTTTTCTCTTCAATGAAGAGTGCAGTATCCCCAGACAATAAAATAATTTATTCTCTTTGCCTCCTGAAAAGTGACTGTAATGAGTTTGATCCCCGTGGTGCAGTTTGATTTTATTTTTTAACAACCTCTCTAAGCCCTTGGAGAAATGGAGCAGAAACGGTGACTAGGATTGCAGCTGCATTGGAATCAATAGCAGAATCTTCATTGATTTCACCTGGAAAGAGTTGGAATGAGCGTCTCACTGTGCCAACAGAAACAAGATGAACCAATTCAAGTGCTCTTGCAGTCCTCCTTGCAATCTGAGAAAATGGGCAGGCAGAATTGTTGCATGGTATTTTCTCTATGCTGAGTGCTCCAATAGGAAATGCATTTGCAGTAATGTGTATTTCTAGTACTACTTCCTGCAAGCATCTGAAGAATTTCATTAACAGGCAATACATTGTAATACATCAAGAATACTGTGCTTTAATGATAAATGAGTTTGTGTATCAGTAGACTGGAGATTGAAACTTGAACATTTGATATCCATATAATTGACTGACTGGCTCACAGATTTTTTTTTTTTACCTGAAATTTCTTGCCCTTTCCTTTCCTTTCCTTTCCTTTCCTTTCCTTTCCTTTCCTTTCCTTTCCTTTCCTTTCCTTTCCTTTCCTTTCCTTTCCTTTCCTTTCCTTTCCTTTCCTTTCCTTTCCTTTCCTTTCCTTTCTCCTTTCCTTTCTCCTTTCCTTTTTCCTTTCCTTTTTCCTTTCCTTTTTCCTTTCTTCTTTTATTCTTTTTCTTTTTTTTCTCCCCTATTCTTTCTTTCCTCCTTTCTTCAAAAGATAAGATACTGCTAGGATGCCATTCATTAATATTTTATAGAGGGCATAACTAACTTTCACTTGTACTTTACAGTGTGGAAGAACTACTACAGAACTAATTATATTTATTTGAAAATTAAATAGCTTAAGAATTGAGAAGTAAATATGAATCCTTGTTTGATTATTTCACCTGCAAAGGAATAAATCTATTCTTTTCATCAGATAAAAAAATCATAAATGTGTTTCTTCTGATATTGTTCTGTTACGTCTGAACGTTTTTGCTGAATCTACTGGTTCAGACTTTTAAAGAAACAAACCCATTATATCATACAATTTTCTCGAAGCCTTTCTGCATAGTAATGAAGTTAAATAATCATGCTAGCTGATGTGGGACAAGGGAGATTAATGTGCCCATGGTTACTCAGTTGATTATTTTTCAATGTTATATATCTTTTACATTCTTAAGTTTGCGCTTGCTTGTTTTTCTTGTTAGATCAAGGTGTACCTTTCCCTCATCTACCCACAATGTATGTACTTATCTTTTCTGCAGCTTTCATAATTTTTTCTTCCATTATATCCTCTGTCTTCTCACTTATTCTTTATGCTGTAATAGCATGTTCTGGCTTTGGAGCAAACACAAAAGGAGGAATAGCCTGTGCTTGTAGCCTTTTCATCTATTCTTAATAGTTCTATCTGTTATAAACTCATGAAACTCTCACTTACAATTCAGTACTCATCAGGCCCTTGGAATAGCCACCTTTTATCCTAGAAGACACTGGATTGTCAGTTGTAAGTATGAAAAAATACCCTTGGGAACAGCAAGAAGCCGGTATCTGGAAACCTTATTGTTGTATCACAGTTCATTTAGTGACACCACAAACGAGGTTTTTAATTTCTAAAATCCAGTGAAACCTAATGTATTACTGAAATTTAATTCTGAGTTATATTCCCAGATAGGAGAGAACAGTGTACAGAGTACAGAGGTTACTATGTGTACATGTGGAACATGTATTCCTTTTCATTCTTTTTTTCTTGATACTGGAAATGTGGAGTCAGTGTTCTGTTCCTGCTGCTTCACTCCTGATGCTGGTCTTTGCATCTGATAACACTGGATCCTTAGGGACATAGCGAGCAAAAAAAAATTATTGTGGTCATTGTTCATACTTCAGAGCTCCTTGTTTGGTTTCATCAGTCTCTAGCAGAAGCTAAGGACAACCTTGCTTTTGTGCCAAAAAGATACCATAGTGTGGGTCCTTTTTTTTTTCTCAACCTTTCAACAGCAGCAGAAATGCTATAATATTTTGGACAGATTTTGGATTTGGATAGCTTTATTCATGCTTGTTACAAGTTTGAAGAGGTAATTTTGAAACGACCATGGATGACTATAAATCCTTAAGCTGCAGATATAAGCAAGTCCTATTAAAAATCATAGTCTTTCTCTCTCATGAGACTAATCCTGGGATTTACAGAATGGTTCACTACACGGTTTTATTTATTAGAGATTTGTTCCAGCCTTTCAGAAATTAAACTATTCTTTACGTATAGAAGTTATGTCAAACTCAAAAGTAATTTTCAAATGTAGAAAATCCATGTTTCTCCTTAGAAAACTATGCATATTTTTTAATTTGTGTTGTAAAATTAATAACTACTGGGATAAGCTAGAAAAAAACTAATGATCTACAGCCACTGTAAAGATACTGTATTCTCCTCAGCAGTTTCATGCATATTTTTATGTCTATGCAATGTTTATAAGTAGAAATTTCCTGTACTGACATAGAGACATAGTACTAATATAGCTAAAAATTATACAGTGTCAAAATGTTGTATACCTTGCTAATACAGAAATGCCTACTGAGCTTAGTACACAGTGCTATTGCATATATTGGAATTGCATGGAGACTATAAACTGAGCAAAGATTACAGAAAGTATGTTGCATGTTGGTTAGGCTAGCACGTATTTGGATGTATTTTTTTTTTTTCTTTCATTCATTCCTCATTAGGTTCTAAGGCCTTTTCTGGAAAGACAGAGTCATTTAGCAAGCTGCTTTTAACTCTTTTGTTAGAAGTAAAGTTAAATAGTATTTTAGGAGAAAAAAACGTACGTATTTTTTTCTCTGCTGATGAAGGAAGTAATACAGGAAGAGATACAGGAAGAATATACATTTTGTTTCCAAAATTTTCTTTGTTGTAGTTATCAATGTGTGGATGTATTTGATCCAGAGTCTCATCTCCTTCAAAAATTAGAAGTCTCATTTGTGCAATTAAACAAACTGATGAAACAATGAAGTTTTCTTCTTCGGGTAGAAAA